TCATAAACAAACCATGTCCATGTTACAGAGGGAGCCCTCGTTTAGGAGTAAGGTTAGAGAACTTTAAGGAATGAATGTAGCCACTACGGTGACCATCAAAACCATGAATAAAAACAAATGATAGCGTAATATGAAACAACAGACGTTTTCATATCGTCTTTAGATATATGTCGTTCCTTAAATCGAACAGCCCTAATTTGAACTATGACCTGGATGACTGAGAGCCTACACAGACGATGTAGATAAGCTACTCTTAGCTACTCTCTTATTTCCCAGGGGGTTACCACAGTGCACGGATCCCCATTTCACACCAAATACAACCTTCCCATTTATCCAGGTTTGTGCCGGGTCCTAGGACAGCAGCACGACTCCAGGAGGCTTCGTCTTTAAGACTTCAATTCTGTAGAAGTTCTAGTAATTCCAAAGAGTTCACTAACTTTATCTTGCAGCTGTACGAGGAGGTCCCACCTAGCAGTAAGCAGCAACAGCAACTGTTTACGTTCACACTTCTGAAAGAAAAAGTTTGCCTTCCTCTCTCTTGAACTCATTGACTTTACAACCAAACACTGTCATAGATAGTGTTGCACGACTTTGAGGTTAAATCTGAGAGTTTGCATTGACTGACAAGAGGAAGTGAAACATTGCAAAACAATGGTTAACCACTCACTTGGAGGACTGAGCACCCTAGACTCAAAATACTCTGTTTCTAGTACAGCAGCTGGGTGTTACGCAGGCTTCACAAATTCTAATAATTCTGCAGCTCAGGTATGTCCTTTATGCTTTAAATGAAGGAAACTGCAGGAATCTGCCTGTAATTTAGAGTAAGAGGTGTTTGGATGGTAGAAAACTGCTGGTTGAACACTTGATTTGTCAATCTAAAGTAACAATTCCCCATGAGAAATGATGCAGAACCTTTCTTTCCATTTTTTAATAAGACGTGGAGCATACACTAAATAGTTTTGGGGCTTGGGGGGCATTCTGTCCTCCCCCTGGGAGATTGCATCCTTGCCGATGGGATCTGTTCATAAAGAAAACAACACTAACATTGTTCATTTGTGCTGCTTCTGAAAACCATATGATCGAATCCCAGAGGGGAAGCATTTTCACACGAATCCACACTGACAGCAGCAGGTCGTGTAGCTCACCGTCCAAAACCTTCAGCGTTGGGATACGTTTTTAACCCTTTAAAGCCGGTCGGAGCAGCACGCTCCGTTTGTGTAACTATTTTTAAATCCCGGTAGCTCTGCAACCACGTGAGCTAGCGCAATAATTTTTTTTGCATATGAAACCGGAGGAGTTGTAC